CCCCTCCCACCCCCTCTCACCCTTGTATACCTGCGAATTGTACACAGTACAGGTCCTTTTTCGGTATTACCTCTGGATATTTTTCCAAGGGGAGAGGTAACAATAGGTGTGAAACTCCTGGTGAAAATCTGATATTTTTGAGTCGAAAGTAATTTTTTTGAATTTTTTTATTCAATTTTTAGGGAGATAAATTGACGAGAGTTGAAATTCGTTTGATATTTCGAGTGAATATTTGAGATAAATAATAATTATTTATGTATAATTACGTAATTATTGGGTGAGTGAAATTGAAATTGAATTAAAAACCATCGAGAGCTCCTGAGATTCCAAGAATTTTCAAAAGAAAATTTCAGCATTGTTATTTTCCAGACTTCCAGGGGATGATAGATCGCCTGGTTGTCCCGGAAATCTAAGAATGGAGGGGAAAAAAAATGTGTTTTCATCGTCTGGCCCCCGGGTGCGGGCATTTTCTCCGAAATCTGATGTTTCCATCCATCAGCTATTCCAAGCATCAATCTCATAATTATTTAAACATCAAAACTCCACACTCCCACTAATTCCCCTGACTTATCAATTTCTATTTTCATAACAAACTTTTATAACAAATAAAAACAAATATAAACCTAATCAACATAATACCTAAATAAAAAATAAAACACCACCCAATGAAAAAACCCAATATAACTAATGCAATTAAAAAATTAACCGCAGATATTATTTAAATAATTCCTCCAAGTCCCAAAATGCGATAGTCCCAAGATCCTAGAAGTCCCCATATTATTTCAAAGATGACCGCCTGTCGTACATGTGTCCCCACACTGATACCCACGTCATTCACCTAGTATTGGTGTAGAAAATACTGTAGGATTATATTCTTGAGACCCCGAAAGAGACCCCCAGGCCTTGTGGGCTTCTCTCCGGCTCTTTTTATGCCCCCCCTCTCCCTCCCTCCCCCTTTTACAACCCCCCCTTTCTCCCCCCAGCATTCGGCCCCTCTTGTGATCCCTCCAGAATAATATACCCACGTTTTTCAAGTATT